GGACCAGTAGAATCCGAAGAAGAAGGGGTCGTTGGTTCTGTGGTCCAAGGAAGAAGAAGGGGTTTATTTTATTAATAATACAAAGATGGGCCCAGATTTTAAGTAAAACGCAGTATAGTACTGCGAATTAGTAAATTTTTTTTTTTTTTTAAATAAAACGCAGTACAATACTGCGTTTTACTTTAACGGCCAAATTTCTGTTAAAGTAAAACGCAATATAATACTGCGTTTTATTTAGAAACATAACATTTTTTTTAAACATTAGAAACGTGTTTTTTGTCCAAAAAACCATCAAAAAAGTTTCCGACTCCATAAATGGTTGGTGGCCCAATATTCCTCACAATTCAATGAACCAAACTTGTGGGTGTGGATCATTTGAGCCCAAAATACTATTCCAACCAGGTACAAGCCCAACTAATTACTTACAGCCCAATGGGCCTGTGAAATGAGTTTAAGCTCCTTATGACATTCTTGTTTCTTTGTCAGCATAATTTTCCCAGGCTCAGAATTAATGGTACACCTCACTAACTTTCAGTTCACAGCAAAATGAATGGCCACGAGAAAGCAGTAATAATATGAATGGTTGAAATCCAAATTCCATAATCAGTTAGCCCCACTTCAGAATTCCTCTCAGCTCAATCTCTGCAAAGTTATTTCCTTTCAACTCTTTACTCTTCAAGGTATGCTCTTCTAAATTCTTGAGACTGATAAATGAGCTACTGCTTCAGTTTCCTTTCCTTTCCTCTGTTTTATCTTTGAAAAATCAAGAATTTTTTAGGGGTTTACTTGATCATCAATGTTTGGTTAAATTCTGAATTTTGGGGTTTTGTTGGTTGATTTTTCTAAACAAAATGCCTTATCTGAATGTCTGGTCTTCAAGGAGTAATTCTAGTATGTTACCTCATATGGAATTAGAGTTGGCTTCATCTTCTAGTTCAGTTTTTACAAGACTAAGAACTGAAAGTTGGATTCTTGCATACTCTTTATCACATAATTCAAGCTTTGATCATGTATCAAGAAGTGTTATTTATCCAAAGAATAAGACTAAGTTCAAAAAACAAGAAGGATTCTTTCCTTTTCGCCGCGGAAAGAAGGATTCTTTTGGCCCATCTTTTGCATTGACGCAGGCCTCTGAAGAGCAAGCTATTGATTGTGATGTAATAAAACAAAGTTCACAATCTTTCACTAGAGGGGAAGGTGGGGTTGAGGGTTTCAGTTGTGTTCAATTGGAGGAAAAGAGGGTCTTGACTCATAATTATGATGATGGTGATTGTGATGTTAAAAGTGAGGAGGAAGAGGTAGGGAGAGTAAAAGGCGAGAAGGTGGACGTTCGAGCTCTAGCACAGAGCTTGCACTTTGTCAAAACTGCTGATGAGGTAGATGAAGTTCTCAAAGATAAGTTAGAGTTGCCCCTTCAAGTTTACTCATCTATGATTAGAGGTTTTGGCAAGGATAAGAAGTTACACTCTGCAATGGCACTCGTCAAGTGGTTGAGGAGGAGGAGCAAGGATAACATCGGTTCCATTACCTTAAATGTGTTCATTTATAACAGTCTATTAGGCGCCATAAAGGAGGCGGGGAAGTATGAATTTGTTGATAAAGTGTTGGATGATATGGTATCGGAAGGAGTGGATCCTAATGTTGTGACTTATAATACTCTGATGAGAATTTACATAGAACAAGGTCGGGAACTTGAAGCTCTCAATCTTTTCAAAGAGATGTCAAAGAAGGGACTCTTTCCTAGTCCTGCAACTTATTCCACTGCCTTGTTTGCTTATCGGAGACTTGAAGATGGGCTTGGCGCTATAGCTTTTTTTGTCGAGACAAGAGAGAAATATCAAAACGGTGAAATAGGAAATATTGAGGAAGAAAACTGGGGGTACGAATTTCCCAAGCTTGAGAATTTCACAATTAGAATTTGCTACCAGGTGATGCGGCAATGGCTGGTAAAGGGCGAAAACTCAAGCACCAATGTTCCGAAACTACTAGCAGATATGGATAAGGCTAGGCTCCAACCTAGTTGTGCAGAATATGAACGCCTCGTGTGGGCGTGTACCCGTGAAGAACATTATGTTGTAGCAAAAGAACTGTATAATAGGATAAGAGAGAGGGATACAGAGATTAGCTTATCCGTCTGCAACCACATCATTTGGTTGATGGGTAAGGCGAAGAAATGGTGGGCAGCTCTCGAAATTTATGAGGATTTGTTGGACAAGGGGCCAAAACCAAACAACATGTCATATGAACTGATAGTTTCTCATTTTAACATACTATTGAACGCGGCCAAAAAAAGAGGTATTTGGAGATGGGGTGTTAGGTTGCTGAATAAGATGGAAGAGAAGGGGCTTAAACCAAGCAGTAGGGAATGGAACGCAGTGCTTGTCGCCTGTTCCAAGGCTTCAGAAACATCCGCTGCAGTACAGATTTTTAGGAGAATGGTAGAAAAAGGTGAAAAACCAACAGTTATCTCCTATGGAGCATTGCTCAGTGCTCTAGAGAAAGGCAAGCTCTACGATGAGGCCCTTCAGGTTTGGAAACATATGATCAAAATGGGAGTTGAGCCGAATTTGTATGCCTATACTATTATGGCATCAATTTACACTGCCCAAGGGAAATTTAACATAGTTGATTCAATCATCAAGGAGATGGTTTTCACTGGAGTTGAGCCTACAGTTGTCACGTTCAATGCTATCATCAGCGGATGTGCTCGAAATGGTATGGGAAGTGTTGCGTACGAGTGGTTCCATCGTATGCAAACTCAAAACATAACCCCTAACGAAGTTAGCTATGAGATGCTAATTGAGGCACTCACGAATGATGGCAAGCCGAGGCTGGCATATGAGTTGTATATGAAGGCTCTAAATGAAGGCCTATGTCTTTCTTCAAAGGCTTATGATGCAGTCATATCGTCTACACAAGCATATGGTGCGAGTATTGATCTAAGCATTCTCGGCCCGCGTCCACCAGAAAAAAAGAAGAGAGTTCAAATCAGGAAAAACTTGTCAGAATTCTGTAATATAGCTGATGTTCCTAGAAGAAGCAGACACTTTGACAGGGAAGAAATTTTTACTGCTCAGACAAAAGGAAAATGATAAGCCCAACATTATATTGCTAATATGTGTAGGATCTGCTCCTAAAAACAAAGGTATACAACTCATTGTTTATATGTTTGCTGCTTTCCACAAAGAGTACTATATGCTTCATCTTGTGCAAAGCTACATAGTAAGATAACTCTGATTGACTTTAGATGCAAAGTCAGGCCTTTTTCATTTACCTTTTCACCTCGTAGAATTTCCTGGATTCAGGCATTCAGCTTTTATCTGGCACTTCCCATATATAAATCCATTATAATACAATACCTCCCTTTTGAGAAAGGGCCCAACAGCCTCTTTTTGTCTTCTTGAGCCGAGGGTCTTTCGGAAACAGCCTCTCTGTCCCTCGGGATAGGGGTAAGGTCTACATACACACTACTCTCCCCAGACCCCACTAGTGGGATTTTACTGGGTCGTTGTTGTTGGCCCAACTCTTATCTAAAGAAGGAGGTGGAAGCCAGGAAAGTGTCATTCTTGATCCACTAATATTGTTCCTTTGTACTGAAAAAGTTGTAATGAAAGTTGAAAACTTTACAGTGTTTTTGAGTTGTTTCCATCCAGATACAATATAGAATTGCAGCTGGAATTAAAGGAATTATGCCACAACTAGCAGGTATACTATGAGGAAGCATATTTTATTCTTCTAGTACAAGTACTAAAAGTTGAAAATGCTTAGTAGAATCGATTCTTTGCGTAGCTTTAGTTGGCAAATGTATTTGCGTAGGTATTGCAGATAAAGTGAATCATACTATAGAACAACTGGTATTATTCAAATATCCAATATACTCCAAGAATAGAATAAAAAGAGATCATCTACGCTGGACATGAAAATGTTAATCAAATGGATTTATGTTATATAAACGAACTGCATATGTTAGTTTATTTTATTTTAACCTTTTGATCAGGGGCGGCCCGATGAGCTCTATAGCCTAAAGCCAAATTTTACGAGGGCCTTAACTTTTTCTTTTTTAAAAAAACATTTATTTATTTGAAGTCTATTTTTCTTGCGTTTTTTAGATACAAAGTTATTAATAGTTTTCTTATAATCAATAACTCCTAATAAGTCTTTTTTAATTGACAATATAGCTAATCCATTTAAGCTTTCTTGAGATATTATTGATCTTAGGTAAGATTTTATCAATTTTAATTTTGAAAATTTCTTTCCGCTGAAGTGACGGTAACAAGAGTTATTAACATTATTCCATAATTAATATAGGCATTGAAAAAGAGTCAATTTTTTTATTTGACCGAATGTATCAATTAAACTGTTATCTTCTAATTGTATTAATTTTCTTAATATTTTTAATTCTAAAAATAAATCTAAATCATCACTATCAAATTGATTATTATGCTTTAAGGAGCATTCAAGATTAACACAATATTTTTTCAAATTTCCATCACCTAGTGATCTTAATTTTTACCGCTAAATAGTAAACTAAAAATATTTTCATCTTCTTCGAATTGTTCAAATCTATTTTGAAATAAAAAAAATAGTCTTGTCTACTATGTATAACGTAATCAACTATACAGGACTCTTCGAAAGATTTTGAGATTTTATTATCAACATTCTCATTAAATTGTTACTTCCTATAGTCTTACGAAATTCGAGTTCGATATTCATTTCAAGTGCAATATTCGTGACAGAAATCATAGCAGTTGCAAATCCTTATTATCTATACTTGTTAAAGAAAGAAATCAAACTTGCTTTATTTGCTTTATGAAAGGGTCGCCCTTGCTTTTGATAATTGATTTTTGACTTGACGTCTATGTTGTTGTTGAGCTAAAACGGCCAAAAGATACTTTTAACATGATGTGATATTGACCGCTTTGGACTAAACCCGCACAGTTTTTTCCAAAAGGCCTTATACCCTTAGTTTTCTTTTCTACTTTCCACGTTGTTACGCCTCGCAATATTACGTCGATATTACGCCCCGTAGTATTATATTACAATGATGTTATGCTCTGCAGTAATATATTACAATGATGTTACCCTCTGCAGTAATATATTACGATGGTGTTACGTCATGCAGTATTATATTACGATGATGTTATGCCTTGCAGTATTACATTACGGTGATGTTACGCTTTGCAATACTAAGTTACGACAGTGTTGCACCCAGCAGTATTACATTACGGTGATGTTACGATTCGCAGTATTAAGTTACGACGATGTTGCACCCTGTAGCATTGTGCGTTAAATTTGTTGTAAGGTAATTGACATCAGTCCAAAGAAAAGATTATTTGGAGATTATAAGGATTATAAGTGTTATGAAGGATAAAAGGGTACACGGATTAAAGAAAACGAGTTTCGTTGAAAGTGGCCAATTTGGAATAAAATACGGGTCGAGCGATAATACCCGTAATTATGAACTAGTACAATGCAAGGTACCATATGACCACAGCAGTATAATATATAAAGTATATATAAAGTATTTTAAAAAATAAATAGAATTTTAAGTAATTTGTGGTAATTTTTAAATTATGCGGGTAATTAATTAATTACCGGATAATAAAACATTACCCAATTAACTTATTAACTAATAAGTGAATAAAAAATTAATATCACACCCCACCCTATGTGGCAACTAGCCACATTATCAAGGAATGACAAGAAATGACTAAGAGTCTGACTAGGTGTCAAATGGATACAAATTCCATTCATTCTTTCTAAGACTTTGGATATCAAAGTCTTTCTAATTCATTTTCATTTTGAAGGCTTGCAACAGAATGTTGCTTTCTAAATTTCAAATTCCCATTTCATTTCATTTTAAAGGCTTAGCTTTGCAACAGAACGTTGGCCTTTTCTGTCAATTATCCATGAGACTTGATCTCATTTCCTTATAAAAAAGGATTTAACTAACAATCTATTCTTGGTATTAAACCAAGAACGTTGAACAGATTCGTCCAAACAATCCAAAAAAATAAAATTCGAACCACTATTTCGTTCAAGGATTCAAAAGCTTCATTCCGTTCAAATAATTTTAGGAACAGGTATGTTTAGGCTATCCCTTCTTTCTTTTGGCATGAACCATATAATACGAACGAAACGTGCGAATGCACAAATTTCATAAATGACTCTATTCATACAAGTATCAGAGATATCTATGTTCTTGAATTTTCATGTGTCATAATATTTTATCATCTGTTCATGGGTCTCAGAAAAATACAAAAGTTGAAATGAGTTTACTTTATGATATTATTCAAAGGCAAAATGGTCTTATGACATTTCGAAAGATTTTATTAACGTATGTTTCATGCGTTGCATTCATGCACATTGAACTGTGACCAGATGGCGTTATATACGCACCACCACCTGATCAGCTGGTATACGTTGATGATTTTGCCCACAATGGCTGATATGATGGGATACCCTCAGAGGCTGACGGTGTTATGAAACATGTACCAATGCACAACATGATATTCATACACATATGCATGACGCTAAAAGTAATTTATGATTTATAGAGTTATCCAGACTTACAGGTTGAGTCAATTACTCTATATTTCTTCCATGTCTGTTATGTACTTATTTATGTGCCTTACATACTCGGTACATTTTTCGTACTGACGTTCTTTTTACCTGGGGACGCTACGTTTCATGCCCGCAGGTCCCAATAGATAGGCCGAGAGCCCTTCAAGTAGGCTATCAGCTCAGCGGAAAATGTTGGTGCGCTCCATTTGCTTCGTAGTTGCTTGTTTGGTTAGTATGATTTAGACGTGCATTGTTTGGTATGGCGGGACTCTGTCCCAACCTTTATGACATTTATGTACTCTTAGAGGCTTGTGACATATGTCATGTATGTTAAAGATTGTACGGCCTTGTCGGTCTATGTTTTGAGTTTATAAATAATCATGTTGGTCTATTAGGCCCGTATGTCACGTGTATATTATAATGTAATAAGAATATGTTACGTTGGTACTCGGTTGAGTAAGGTACCGGGTGCTTGTCGCGGCCCATCGGTTTGGGTCGTGACAAAAGTGGTATCAGAGCAGTTCTGTCCTAGGGAGTCTATAAGCATGTCTAGTAGAGTCTTGTTTATGGGTGTGTCGTTCACCACACTTATAAGTAGGAGGCTAAAAGACATTTAGATCTGTCACTCTTTCTTCTTACTCTAGATCGTGTGGTAGAGCTTACTTATAAGAAGTCAAGTCCCGAATTTCTATTCGTAATAAGACGATGCCTACATTCAGAAAGACGATCGATAAGAGATATAGCTGTGGAATTGTTGATTTAGAGGAACTCAATTTTGTATATTGCTTACGATAAGTAAATGTGAGGTCTTTAGCAAATCATAGGTATACTGAAAGGTGTAAGCCTCTTGATAAGGAACCTTACCCAGTAAAGAAACAATGTTAGGCAATTGAAAGAGCCAAGGTATGGAGCAAGGGGAGCCAAAAGCAAAAGAATATTTTGTCCGAGTTTTCAGAGTAAAGCAGTAGACATAGATAATTAGCGGGAGATAAGAAGAGAATTAATGAAGCATTATGAGTAAGATGTGATACACGGATGATAACGGTAGGTCAAAAAATGATGACAGTATTACAGAGTTTACAGTCAAGTGAAGGAAAAGACAAAAGATGATAGGCCTTGAGACAATAAAAGAATATATGCCATAAATTCATATCCTCATTTCAAGAAATAAGTTCGCAACTCTAGTGCGATTACCAAGATGAAAAGTTAGACCCCAGAGTAATAGAAATTAATATGGACTGGTAAACAAGATAAACTAAATATGAATTAGGGACTGAGTGATTTGATAAAATTTAGCATAATGAGAATTTCAGATCGCACTCCGGTAATAATAGGACGGACAACAGAAGAAGATTCATGAGAAATTCAGAGTATGGTGATTCAGGAAAACGCTTCTCTAAATCAAGCAATGTTAGCAAAGTTAAGCTTAAGGGACTATATGTACCAGTTAAATTAAGTGTCACCCTCGCGAGTAAGGAAATTTGTCATCCTTGGTACAGAAGGATTGCCGCAAGGCGAGTAAGGATCATTGATGTTGAGAAACGACGACAAAGATGAAGAGGTAAAACATCTATAGGTAGATCCTCGTGGCTTCAGCTCTTAGTACACCCCTAAAGGGGAGAATATGGAGTAATGTGGCACTAAGTCAGAATTAAGTAGTTCTAGTAATTATGGAGTGGTAAAGGAAGAACATGATAAAATGAAAAAGGGATAGAATTGCACTTATTCAAAGCCTACAGATATACTACGATTTCAGAACATTATGCAAGCACGACGTCAAGGAGAGGAAGTATGAGTCCCTACCCAAGGTGTTATTGATAGATAAGGAGCCAGTGTGAGACGTAAGTTAAGATAAAAGGAATAACCCAAGAAAGATTACTCGAAATATGGACATAAGAATAGGGCAACGAATAAGAGCCTAGTCATTACTAGACAAGAGGTTACAGACAAATCAATAGATCGTGCAAGATAAATAGAGTGAACCCCAACATGGGGAATTCAGCCTCGCGGAATGACATTATAATACTGGAGATATATTTATATGGGGAAGTTAAAAAGGTACCGTACGAGTGCTAC